TTCAACATTGTTCGGGACTGCATTCACATCAATTTTTTCCAAAACGTCTTCTTGGTAATATAACCAAGAATCGTCTTTATCCATCATAAAACACGAATGTTGTCTTTGATTTGGGTGCTGAATAGTACAACCGCAACAGCGATTCAGCTTTTTCTGTTGAATGACTTCGTTAACCATATTGGCATAAGTCTGTTGGAACATATGGCTGATACGACTTGCGATCCTTTGCCGTTGAACTTGTTCCACTTCATCGACAGCAAGCAGAGGTGTAGTGCTTGAATCTTTAACGATATTAGGCACCATCTAAATTTAGAAGTTTCGGCGCGACCGAAGTAAGGAGTAATTTCAACCCAGGGGGTTGGGTAAGAGTTACAGTAGTGAGGACAAAACATACGACGCAGTAGTGATAGTGTGAGGTAAGTGCTGAACAGACGAGTTTACCACTTGCATCCTTGTGTTTTATTTCGGGCTTAGCCCAGTGGCAGGAACTTTTATGCAAAACGCGCTCATGTTGCTCGTTAAAATTGTGTGAGTGCCCTGTGGTTTGTCTCAAATTTAACGCCCATTTTCGGTGCTTTTTGTCTCTGACAGGAATTGACCTCTGATGAATTCCTGCTATGCTTCGTCGCGCGTTGTTTTCAGGATGTTGAATTTTTACGGAGAGTGATTTACCGACCCGAATTAACATGGTAAAAAACGACGGGTTCTGTAGGTCTGAGCGACTTTTCACTCATAATGTAAACGTTGATAATAAATTTCGGTTAATCCAAAAATGGCTGCTTCAGTCTTATTTTTATGCAATTAAAGAACTGTGGTTGAAAGACACTCTTTACTTACTTAAAAAAAAGAAAGCTGAAAAACGAATCCACAGTATGGGTAATTAATCGATCATTGAACCCCCTCCCCCAACCCGCAGGTGCCAAAAGAGGTCTTCGGATCCTTTGAGGTCAGTCATGTAAAATAATGAACAAAGGAATAGTGCATTGTTCACTTACAGGGTTTGCAAGGAAAATAGATTTGAAAATATCCCTGACGGGAGCTCTTTGATCTCGTTCCCTGCCAGATTCCTGCAGGAGAATAAATGAAGTTAATGTACAGTAGAATACAGGAAATCATTAAATGTTTTTACCTGGTCCTCAACCATCAAGTAATAAGCGTTGCAACTCTCATTTTCAAGTTAAGTTGGATTATGTTCTGTAACCGGTATCGTTTCGCCCTGTATCGTGCTCAGAGGAAAAGTAAACATGCATTTCAGTTTCCTCTCGGGAGCCAGTTCGTTAAGCCTGTTAATAATACAAGGCCTGTGTTATAAAATAATTAGCAGAAATTTATTAAATTGTTATGCGCATGCGCCATAGGTCACGCGCGTCTTTTTTCCAGATATAGAATGTAGCAACTTATGTCAATAGAACGCGCTTGAACAAGTTAAGGATCACTGATTTAAGAAAATAAATATTTTCTTGTATATTAGAGCGTTTTGGCAACACTTAGTGGTAAACTGGAGAGGCAGAAATAGTGCTTCTAGCGAGACTCATATTACTGATCACGTGGTACCGTTTGTCTTTTTCATAGGTTATTTCTTCTTCTTATCGTTGCAGGGTGTGGTGAAGTTTTAGAAAATATGAATAGATTCAAGTCAGTGGAAGTCTAGAGGCCTATGATGGCTGGGCCTGGGATGTCTGTGACATAGAAGGATGCTCAAGCGATTTCCCCTTTGTAGGAACAAGCTATAGTATTGGTATCGTGGTGCTTGATCTGTGAGCCGCCGCTGGTAGCGAGGGTTATATCAGATGGTAATAAGGAACCAGGTTTTAGGTTCTGCTGGCACATTTGACCGCAGAACCTCACTGGGAGTGTGTTTCCCAGGTACCGGTGTCCAGGGTGGCTTTAAACCCAAGCTATAGTATTGGTATCGTGGACACATCAAGAAAAGTCAGTCCTTTCTTGTCTCCCCAATCCCCCAGGTACCATGAAAGGTCTTCAGATCCTTTTAAGAGATTCATATAAAATGATACTCTAGACAAAGAAATCCACGATTTACTTACAAGTACTTTAGCGATGACAAATTTGAAAATATCCCAGGCGGAAGCTCATCGATCTTGTTGTTCCACAAATCCCTACAGAAAGTAAAAGGTATTAATGAGTTAAATTTGTGAATAATTCTACGATAGCGGATGGGCAACTACAAACATTCAAGGGAAAAACGTTAAAACTATCATTAAAGGGATAAACTTTGACAATTCGCTGTAAACGGTGAATTTTCGAACTCGCTGTGTTATCTTATCGTGTTATCTTTATCTGATCAGATTTGTAAAGGTACGGTAAAACGGGGAATGAAAAATGTGCAACTTGATTTGCAACATTAATTGCTGGGAAACGAGTTCAATAGCGGTCTTGCGCGTTTTACCACCCACGAAATAGGCCTGTCTTGCAACAAATCAGGTTGTTGTAGATTGCAAAAATGCTGTGTAGCGAGTAGTTCCACTACTTTGCAACGAAATCTATACAGGTTTCCTGTTTTACCGGCCCAAGGCAAACGTTTGCACCATTGTCAAGTGACATATGTCCCGTGTATGGAGCGATTCCCGTGTAAAATTATCCAATCAAAATTTAGTATTCAAGCAAATAACTTGTTGGAAGACAGGCTTGAAAATGGGTGATAAACCGCGCTACTTCACTTTCCAGCTCGTTTTGCAGCATAATATTGCTAAACAACTCGCACATTTTTGTTGCCTGTTAATAATAAAAATAACAATAATAATAATAATAATAATAATAATAATAATAATAACAATAATAATAATAATAATAATAATAATAATAATAATAATAGCGGAGTTCTCGCCCGAAGCAGCGGAGCACCATGGGTAAGAAAATGTGGTAAACTACCCATCCAAGATAATTTGGTAATCACGTGACGGTACACCGACCGACCGCCCGACCGTCCGTCCTCACCACAGGCATACCAATGTAGAATAACTCAATCAACCCAAATGCAACTCGAGGTTATTTTGACGGGAAATCGCACAGCCACCCGCGTCTTGTAAAGCAGAGACAACTAAAGAGTCAATGAAGACGAAAACGGAAAGCGACAATATGTCTCGGTATCCGTGTTTTCTCAAGTATTAAGCTTGGAGTAATTGTCATGTCCACAAATTTGGAATATAGAGCAAGAGAAAGAGAGAGAAAGAAAGAAAGTAGGCGGCAGGCCAGAGCTCAACGAGAAAAAGTGCGACAGAAATCTAGAGCGAGAGATAAAAAACAAAAGAGACAAGTTTTTGTTGGAAGAACAACATGAAAATTTTGTAGCAGCGGTGACAAAATGAGAATGCTAGCGGCCACCGGCACCAATGCAAGGTGAAAATTAGCGGCAGTGAAAAAAAAGTGAACTAGAAAACGTACGACATTTCCTTCATAAAACGTGTAACTAAGAAGTTTCTGGAAGTTTCACGTTGTAGTCGTGCAAAAAAGTGTGCTGCACGTGCAAAGTTGCTTTTTTGCTAATTAGACCTATTGTTGTTTTTCACCGTTCGATCAAAAAACACTTTGTTTTGATTGAAAAGTTCATTTCGATAAAAAAATTCATTTCAATTAAAAACATTTCAATCATAAAATCGCTGAAAGAAACTAATTTCAAACGCAAACGTATTCGAAGTACAATATATTTTTTCAAAATTTAATAATAATGAACATATTTTATTGATAACAATGCTAACGATTAAAATCCTATTTACTTTTACTTCACTTAAGAAAACTATTCCCTCAAAACACTATTTAAAATTCCTTTCGTTTAAAAGCACTTAGTTTTGATTAGAAAAAATTAATTTAATTAAAAAAAATAGATATATTTGAATTAAAAACATTTCATTTTAATTAAAACAATCCATTTCGATTAAAAAAAAGAAACTATTTTAAAGGTCAATTGCATGCATTCTTAATAAGAAAATCGCTAAAAAAAGAGGAAAAATAAATGGCGCTCCCAATGCGTTATTGACGAATATTTGCCATTTAAAAGTAAGGAAACACATCAATTATCCGATTGAATGGCTCCTTCAACAACTTCGACGTCAATAGCAACATTCTTAATGTCACATGGCACTCTTCTTGTCCTAGAGCCTCTAAGACAAACCAACGCAGATCTCAAGAGTGCGAATGAGGTTCTGGTTCTGATCCATGAGATGGTTTTGGCACACTGCTCCCCTTTTTTGATGGCAATCAGCTGTGCTAAACGGTTATGATACATCAAGCACTCCTTTCCCATTCCGCCAGTTCTGGTGAAGACCAAAGGTGTAAATGTTCCATGCTCGATGTCCAGAACTCTCCTTGAGTTGAGACGCTTTTTCTCGTTCTCATGGATTCGATGAATTTGTTGTGGCTCTAGGTCCCTATACGATACAACATTAGGGTGACAGACCAACACATCGAAGAATGCTGATTTGATGTCGCTCCCAGAAACCACGCGCGTGGATATCTAACCTCGCATCCTGAGCTTTGTTAGATCATCTGTTTAAATGTTCGCCGTAGATGTCTTTAAGTACTGGCTCGATCTTGACATCGCTACACACCATACTCAGAAATTCAGCTTAGAGATCTCTTAGCTCGTTGTGGCGTTGAGTAATAAAACCTCCTAGTCTGCAAATTATAGAGTGATCAACCGTAAAGGCTTCCCCACAAGAACATGTGGAGGGGATGTCTTCAACTAGCAGTCGTAGCGTAGTTTAACCACAGGCGGCCCAAACTCACGTTACGAGGGAAGGGTGTAATGTAATTTACATACCATAGGTGACACGCCGGTGTCGCGTTACAGGCGACCGTTGAAAATATAAGAGACTTTGTATTAGAAATATATTACTGAGATCTGCGAACGCTAAAATTACGCTGAACCTTATTTTTTCTTAAATGAAATGAATAAAAAAGACTTACCTGCAATGTATTCCACTGCGTTTTGGTGTCTGTTTGTCGTTTTACTGGTTTTTTTACAGTATAATAATACAAGACTTTCACCGAATCATATTATTTACAGTGATATAATAATAATAATAATAATAATAATGATAATAATAATAATAATAATAATAATAATAATAATAATAATAATAATAATAATATAAGTATTTAACCAAATCAGTGGATAGCAGATTTGCTTCCATAACTTGAAAAACTTTCTGCTACCTATAGGATAAGGGTAAAATTGGGGTGTCATTTCATGCTAGTTTTAGAAGTTTAGCAGTAAATGAAGCACCTGTAAAATAAAATACATGTACATGCTAGAAAGGTGACAAAATGAATAAACTGCTGGGTAAAAATATATCGAAGTTGTACCCAAATCATAGAAATGCACAGAGCTTTCGCATAGTGACACATTTTATTTACAAGAAATATTTTTATATAACTGATTTGGTTAAAAATGAATCATACAGATGTATCTCACCTTTGGGTCAGTGAATAGCACTACATACACTATTTAATATTATTCACGGCCTATTTTGGGTAGTGGATAATATTTATCAGGTGAAAACGAGTTCTTATAAATAATTATTAGAGGAATATCGGTTATCATAATAATTTGAGGCTAATTTTATTTCCTGTGGTTGATGTTCTGTTCATTAGTAAGGATGTCACACCTACATTGGAAGTGATGTGTACGCGTTATCGTACGACCATTTGCCAATAGTAGCAATTGAATCTAGAAAAAGTATATTTAAAGTATACCTCTCAAATAGAGTTACGTTTTACCTGTACCAACCTTAGATAATTATGAACCAGCTAGTGTTGACTTGTACTTTCAAACCCAATGTACATTCTTATACACGTATGAATTTAGTTAGTTTCACATTGTATGTGCTTTTTATTCAAAGGCATATATTTTGTGGTACATGCAGTGCCCTTTCAGAGGCCAATGGAACTTTCTTTTTATTTATCTTACTTTTTATTGTACAGTGTATATTAAAGATAATAAAGTCATTTTATTCTTGAAGTGTTGGTTGGTGTCTAAATTGTTTGTCAGTCATTTATGGTATCAAGTAAAAATAAGAAACATGTGGATACTGATGTTTTGATCAAATTTGCTATCTTGAGCGAAAGTGTAAAAAGGTGATATTTTAATCAGCCTTGTTTACTTGACTTAAAAGTATGGAAAACCGCTATCATGGCAATATTTTCCATACGGAGCGAAGATACAGAAGAACTGATATTTGACCAACTTTGCTACAATGGGGAAAAGTGTGGGAAACTACTGTTTTGTTCATATCTGCCATCCTGAGCAAAATTGAGAATAAAGTGGTATTTGGCCAAATTTGCTACCCTGAGCAGAACAGTGGCAAACGACTATTTTGATCATATTTGCCACACTGAGCAAAGATATGGAAGAAGTGATAATTTGAACTCATTTACTACACTGTGCGAAACACAAATAAGGTGAATTTTTGCTCAGATTTACTATCCTGGGCAAAACTGTTAAAAATGAGTTTAGGTCACTTTTGCTACATTGAGCAAAAATGTGAGAAATTACTACTTTGACCGAATTTGCTATAGAGAGCAAAAGCGTTCAAAAATTCATCTTTGATCGCTTTTGCCCATTTGGGCACAAAAACCTGGCAAATGTCAGTTTTGCTATCAATTTTGACACCCCTGTAAATGCCTTGATAAAGTAAATGTTACCCTTGTTTTTACACACGGGGCAAATTTGAGGCAAATGCGGCATTTACCACCTTTGCCATTAATGCAAAATTATGGCAAATTTGGTCCTACGTCATGAGGCAAAATTGAGCAAAGTTAAGCAAATGTGGCATTAGCAGATGGTTTGCTCCAAATTTGCTATAGAGGTAAATCCGTTTTTTCGTCCAGTGTAATAAACAAAGAAAAAGTGCGTTGTTCACTTACAGGGTTTGCAAGGAAAATAGATTTGAAAATGTCCCTGACGGGAGCTCTTTGATCTCGTTACTTGCCAGATTCCTACAGGAGAATAAATGAAGTTAATGTACATTAGAATAAAGGAAATCATTAAATGTTTTTACCTGGTCCTCAACCATCAAGTAATAAGCGTTGCAACTCTCATTTTCCAGTTAAGTTGGATTATGTTCTGTAACCGGTATCGTTTCGCCCTGTATCGTGCTCAGAGGAAAAGTAAACATGCATTTCAGTTTCCTCTCGGGAGCCAGTTCGTTAAGCCTGTCAACAATACAAGGCCTGTGTTATAAAATAATTAGCAGAAATTTATTAAATTGTTATGCGCATGCGCCATAGGTCACGCGCGTCTTTTTTCCAGATATAGAATGTAGCAACTTATGTCAATAGAACGCGCTTGAACAAGTTAAGGATCACTGATTTAAGAAAATAAATATTTTCTTGTATATTAGAGCGTTTTGGCAACATTTAGTGGTAAACTGGAGAGGCAGAAATAGTGCTTCTAGCGAGACTCATATTACTGATCACGTGGTACCGTTTGTCTTTTTCATAGGTTATTTCTTCTTCTTATCGTTGCAGGGTGTGGTGAAGTTTTAGAAAATATGAATAGACTCAAATCAGTAGAAGTCTAGAGGCCTATGATGGCTGGGCCTGGGATGTCTGTGACATAGAAGGATGCTCAAGTGATTTCCCCTTTGTAGGAACAAGCTATAGTATTGGTATCGTGGACACATCAAGGAAAGTCAGTCCTTTCTTGTCTCCCCAATCCCCCAGGTACCATGAAAGGTCTTCAGATCCTTTTAAGAGATTCATATAAAATGATACTCTAGACAAAGAAATCCACGATTTACTTACAAGTACTTTAGCGATGACAAATTTGAAAATATCCCAGGCGGAAGCTCATCGATCGTGTTGTTCCACAAATCCCTACAGAAAGTAAAAGTATTAATGAGTTAAATTTGTGAATAATTCTACGATAGCGGATGGGCAACTACAAACATTCAAGGGAAAAACGTTAAAACTATCATTAAAGGGATAAACTTTGACAATTCGCTGTAAACGGTGAATTTTCGAACTCGCTGTGTTATCTTATCGTGTTATCTTTATCTGATTTAGACAGATCAGATTTGTAAAGGTACGGTAAAACGGGGATTGAAAATGTGCAACTTGATTTGCAACATTAATTGCTGGGAACCTGATTTGTCTTGCAACAAATCAGGTTGTTGTAGATTGCAAAAATGCAGTGTAGCGAGTAGTTCCACTACTTTGCAACAAAATCTGTACAGGTTTCCTGTTTTACCGGCCCTTAGCAAACGTTTGCGGCATTGTCAAGTGACGTATGTCCCGTGTATGGAGTGATTGCCGTGTAAAATTATCCAATCAAAATTTAGTATTCAAGCAAATAACTTGTTGGAAGACAGGCTTGAAAATGGGTGATAAACCGCGCTACTTCACTTTCCAGCTCGTTTTGCAGCATAATATTGCTAAACAACTCGCACATTTTTGTTGCCTGTTAATAATAAAAATAACAATAATAATAATAATAATAATAATAATAATAATAATAACAATAATAATAATAATAATAATAATAATAATAATAATAATAGCGGAGTTCTCGCCCGAAGCAGCGGAGCACCATGGGTAAGAAAATGTGGTAAACTACCCATCCAAGATAATTTGGTAATCACGTGACGGTACACCGACCGACCGCCCGACCGTCCGTCCTCACCACAGGCATACCAATGTAGAATAACTCAATCAACCCAAATGCAACTCGAGGTTATTTTGACGGGAAATCGCACAGCCACCCGCGTCTTGTAAAGCAGAGACAACTAAAGAGTCAATGAAGACGAAAACGGAAAGCGACAATATGTCTCGGTATCCGTGTTTTCTCAAGTATTAAGCTTGGAGTAATTGTCATGTCCACAAATTTGGAATATAGAGCAAGAGAAAGAGAGAGAAAGAAAGAAAGTAGGCGGCAGGCCAGAGCTCAACGAGAAAAAGTGCGACAGAAATCTAGAGCGAGAGATAAAAAACAAAAGAGACAAGTTTTTGTTGGAAGAACAACATGAAAATTTTGTAGCAGCGGTGACAAAATGAGAATGCTAGCGGCCACCGGCACCAATGCAAGGTGAAAATTAGCGGCAGTGAAAAAAAAGTGAACTAGAAAACGTACGACATTTCCTTCATAAAACGTGTAACTAAGAAGTTTCTGGAAGTTTCACGTTGTAGTCGTGCAAAAAAGTGTGCTGCACGTGCAAAGTTGCTTTTTTGCTAATTAGACCTATTGTTGTTTTTCACCGTTCGATCAAAAAACACTTTGTTTTGATTGAAAAGTTCATTTCGATAAAAAAATTCATTTCAATTAAAAACATTTCAATCATAAAATCGCTGAAAGAAACTAATTTCAAACGCAAACGTATTCGAAGTACAATATATTTTTTCAAAATTTAATAATAATGAACATATTTTATTGATAACAATGCTAACGATTAAAATCCTATTTACTTTTACTTCACTTAAGAAAACTATTCCCTCAAAACACTATTTAAAATTCCTTTCGTTTAAAAGCACTTAGTTTTGATTAGAAAAAATTAATTTAATTAAAAAAAATAGATATATTTGAATTAAAAACATTTCATTTTAATTAAAACAATCCATTTCGATTAAAAAAAAGAAACTATTTTAAAGGTCAATTGCATGCATTCTTAATAAGAAAATCGCTAAAAAAAGAGGAAAAATAAATGGCGCTCCCAATGCGTTATTGACGAATATTTGCCATTTAAAAGTAAGGAAACACATCAATTATCCGATTGAATGGCTCCTTCAACAACTTCGACGTCAATAGCAACATTCTTAATGTCACATGGCACTCTTCTTGTCCTAGAGCCTCTAAGACAAACCAACGCAGATCTCAAGAGTGCGAAGAGGTTCTGGTTCTGATCCATGAGATGGTTTTGGCACACTGCTCCCCTTTTTTGATGGCAATCAGCTGTGCTAAACGGTTATGATACATCAAGCACTCCTTTCCCATTCCGCCAGTTCTGGTGAAGACCAAAGGTGTAAATGTTCCATGCTCGATGTCCAGAACTCTCCCTGAGTAGAGACGCTTTTTCTCGTTCTCATGGATTCGATAAATTTGTTGTGGCTCTAGGTCCCTATACGATACAACATTAGGGTGACAGACCAACACATCGAAGAATGCTGATTTGATGTCGCTCCCAGAAACCACGCGCGTGGATATCTAACCTCGCATCCTGAGCTTTGTTAGATCATCTGTTTAAATGTTCGCCGTAGATGTCTTTAAGTACTAGCTCGATCTTGACATCGCTACACACCATATTCAGAAATTCAGCTTAGAGATCTCTTAGCTCGTTGTGGCGTTGAGTAATAAAACCTCCTAGTTTGCAAATCATAGAGTGATCAACCGTAAAGGCTTCCCCACAAGAACATGTGGAGGGGATGTCTTCCACTAGCCAGTCGTAGCGTAGTTTAACCACAGGCGGCCCAAACTCACGTTACGAGGGAAGGGTGTAATGTAATTTACATACCATATGTGACACGCCGGTGTCGCGTTACAGGCGACCGTTGAAAATATAAGAGACTTTGTATGAGAAATATATTACTGAGATCTGCGAATGCTAAATTACGCTGAACCTTACTTCTTCTTAAATGAAATGAATAAAAAAGACTTACCTGCAATGTATTCCACTGCGTTTTGGTGTCTGTTTGTCGTTTTACTGTTTTTTTTGGCTTTATTGCGTAACCACTGTTACTCCTTTCATAGAACGAAGTGAAGGCTGGTCACTTCGATCCGTCGGGGTCTTAACAAGAATGCCGTTTTTTTCGCCGAAAATTAAATCCACTGCAAACTTTTCAGCTCCCGCCCAAGAGGGAAACCTCTTCTTGCTCTCTGGGAGATCAGCTCGAAAAAAGATCCATATTTCCCCATCAAATCGAGCCATTTGTGCCGGACTTCGAGGCACGTCTGGCTTTCGTCCAGTGCCTGTGACCACTGTTGCGCTTACCAACTAATTTGCATTATGACAATTAGCACTTACACGACGGATCGAAGTGACCAGCCTACACTTCGTTCTATGAAAGGAGTAACCGTGGTTATGCAATAAAGCAACAAAAAAAAAAAAACAGTAAACGACAATCAAAAACCAAAATGCAGTGGAATACATTGCAGGTAAGTCTTTTTTATTCATTTCATTTAAGAAAAAGTAAGGTTTGGCGTTATTTAGCGTTCGCAGATCTTAGTAATATATTTCTCATACAAAGTCTCTTATATTCTCAACGTTCGCCTGTAACGCGACACCGGCGCGTCACCTATGGTATGTAAATTACATTACACCCTTCCCTCGTAACGTGAGTTTGGGCCACCTGTGGTTTAACAGCATCACGGAACTCCCTCTTATTCAGGTTAAATCCCAAATCCTGGAAGGGAAACATTGTAAGCCATGCTGATGATCCCTTTTCTGTCACCAGATCTAATGCTCGCTAAGTCTTTCTTGGTGCCATCTCCTTAATACAACTTTAATACGCTCTGCCCTAATATTGCTTATTAGGCGCAAACTAACATGTGAATATGATAGATAGTCAAGCAAGGTTATCAGACAAGTAAGAGAGAAGACAAAGGAATTCTGAGATATAACACGATGAAAACAGACGAAAGGAATATCCTGAATTTCGGTTAATCCAAAAATGGTTGCTTCTGACTTATATGCGCTCAAACGACTGTGGTTGAAAGAGACTCTATAGTGAATATGGAAGAAAATTCTTGTAGGAATCATGAATCATTGAGGCAAAAACGGCAGGAATCACGAATATCAAGATTCAAATGATTCTGCTTCTACCCCCGAGTCTAGTTATGGAACAAACTATGCGCTTACTCCCTTTGTTTAGAGCTGGCGGAGAGTTGTGTAGTCCTTGCGCTAGAACTGTTTGTGTTGCAAGGCGTTGCAAATTTTTGTTATTTATTGAATTAAAAGTCCAGTGAACATGGCCTGGTATTCCGTAGTTTTGAAAGCTGCATTTGTAACACGCAAGCTTACATGTACGCCTGGATGTACGCTCGTATTTATTGAGATTCCCGATCCAGGCAGAAATGAATGAAGTGCACATTCAATATATCGTTACACTTTGTGACCCTTTGTCACCTTCGTGGGAAAAATCCAATGCGTGGCAAGGTAGTGCCGTGTCATGTTCTGATTATTCTCTTCCTAGCGGGTAGATTATATTGTGGAGGATTCCAAACTTTTCAAACCGAGCAAATCTTACTGATCATTGATGTTTGACTCACATTTGGAGTTTATTTCCGGTGCTTGTTGTTTCTTACAGGAATTGACCTTTGATGAATTCCTGATATGAGTTTCTCACGCGTTGTTATGAGGATGTTGGATTTTCACGATTAGTGATTTACTGACCAGAATTAACATGGTAAAAAACGGTGGGTTCTACAGGACTGAGCGCCTTCTAACTCATAATGCAAAATGTCATTGGTCTGATTTTTTTCTTTCTAGCGGGTAGACTATGCTGTGCAGCAAATCTTATTTTGCCGGTGGTTTCACGTTGGGAGGTCACGAGGTTAACCTCTTTCCTACAGAATTTCCTGGGGTTTTGTTGCTTTGAATCCAGGATTTGATATCTGGTGCGATGCAGTTTAAGCACTTTTTTTGGCTCCGAGGGTGGAAGACCACGACGTTCAAATGATGAATTTGCCCTAGAAGAATCTGCTTCACTCTTTCAGAGTGCGGGACGAATCGGGAAAAAAACCCAGGACAGAGAAATATGACTACAAATAAAATAGGTAATGACTTCATTTTTCACCATGACAACTCCGATGAACACTGACAATAACTTTTTGTCTTTTTCTGAAAAAGTTATGGTTATCGTTTTCCTATATCGTTGTTAGGGAAGGCGTATTCAATGCACAATTCTGGGAGGTGATGACCCGGAAAGATACAGTCCAGTCTCACGTGAGCTGTATAGAGATATTTTCCACGCAACTTACATGTACGTCATTAGAGAGAGCATGCCCAATGCATGGACCATTAAAAAAATATGGGCCTTTTTCTTAAAATATAATAATGATCCTCATAATACTCATCTCATCATCAACATCATCAACATCATCAAGTGCAGTATTTTGCGTGCATTGTATTTTCAACCAGATTAACTTTCAAGAATTCCTCGTTACAAAACAAGCTGCCCTCAAGTTGTCTTTATTCTAACCAAGGAGTTTGAAACAACCACGTCCAGTGGCTGCTGGAAAAGCATGAAAGAAACTAGTTTCGTGAGCATTGTCACTAGGCTGAAATCCAAAACAAGCAAACCATACTGAGAGACTCCTTTATAAGTCGTTAATTCCAGAATCTAAAGCCCTAACCGACCTCTACGTTAATGGCTTCTTTTTTCCTTCGGTAGTTTCTCATTAAAATCTAGCAAGAATATCTTTTAATAATAGGACAGATCAAAAACTGTTTTACCTATAGACATAACACGCATAAGACTGCTAGAATAAGTCTTAAAAGAAGGATTTTAAAGATTTTTTTCTGCTACCGTTTCTTTCTTTCTTTTTTTTTGTAATATAGCGAAAAATCGATAATGTTATTTTGGAAATTATTATGTCTTATGTTCAAACCGCAGCGAAGCATTGTCAAGAAATGTCGCCAAAATGTGTTAAAGAAAAGCGAAAACAGTGAAAATTAGACAAGTAAGGATAATTGACCCACTCTTGTTACTCAACGTTCCCGAACCAAGAGAGGTCTTTGAATCCTTTTTGGTGAGTAATAGAAAATAATAAACAAAGAAATGCGTCTGTTACTCACAATCTCTGCAAGGAAGCGAGATTTGATAAAGACCCTTGCGGGAGCTTCTTAAGCTCGTTGCCGCTCAAATCCCTGCAGAAAAACACATGAAATTAATTTGTGTCAAATAAATCAATAAAAAAAAAAACATTTTCGACCACCAGTTTTTAATCCTATTCGCATAAGTACCTTTTATAATAGAAGAGGCTGGTAGATTATTCTGAAAATTACGTGTTTCATCATTGATTAGCAGAAGTTCATTGAATGTTTTATTTAATAAGCACTTTGAGCAACACTCAGTAGATGGAAGAATGTGTTTCTCTCCTTTTCTTATGCCTTTCGCTCAAATAAAAGAAAAAAAACAGCAAAGCATGAATCGAGCACTTTACTTTATTTGTTGTTTCAATAAGTTAAAAACTTCTTTCCATGAACTCCGTTTCTAAATGCAAATAGAAACTGTAAGATCAAGATTTTAAATCTAATGGAAAACGCCGAACAATTGCGTTAACAGATCTCTATCTATTTTAATTTTAATAATATACGCTAAAAAATTACTCAATTCTGATTGGCTGAGAAAGGAGTGCAGCTCTTCTGTAGCACGAGTGCAAATTACAAATGCTTTCTGACTGGCTAAAAACACAAAAGAAACCAACAAGAACCAATCAGATTAGAGCTGTTTCTGTAGCAAAAAATTGGCGGAAATTTTGAGATAAGACGCGGAGGAAAATGGCCGGGCTTTTCAGCAAACAACGATTTGGTTTTGCGAGTGAAACAACGATTGAAGAGCTAAAAAATTTTTCCAAAAACCCAAACACAGTAAAGAGTACGTCTTCCTGGCGGAATGTATGGGAGACGTGGTGCAAACGGAAAAATATTGTCAACAAAATCGAGGAAAACGAGCCAGAAAAACTAAACAAGCTACTTGAAACATTCTACGCTGAAGTAAAAAACAAAAACGGTGACGACTACGAGCCAGACAGCTTAAGAGTGATGATAGTTACACTTGACAGACATTTAAACGAGAAAGGATACAAGTTTTCCATCATGCGGGGAAGGGAGTTCCACTCTTCCAAGCAAGTTTTAGTGGGGAAAGCTCGGCANGGAATGTATGGGAGACGTGGTGCAAACGGAAAAATATTGTCAACAAAATCGAGGAAAACGAGCCAGAAAAACTAAACAAGCTACTTGAAACATTCTACGCTGAAGTAAAAAACAAAAACGGTGACGACTACGAGCCAGACAGCTTAAGAGTGATGATAGTTACACTTGACAGACATTTAAACGAGAAAGGATACAAGTTTTCCATCATGCGGGGAAGGGAGTTCCACTCTTCCAAGCAAGTTTTAGTGGGGAAAGCTCGGCAGCTTCGCCAATCCGGTATGGGCAAACGTCCAAATAAAGCCAGAAGTTTAACTGAGGAAGAAGAAGAGGTGCCGTGGGAGGCAGAAAAATTTGGTTCCAAAACTCCAGAAGCGCTTATTTCTTCTATGTGGTGGCTTTTGACACAGTTCTTTGGTCTTCGCGGCCGTCAAGAACACCACGCAATGAAAATGGAAGATTTTGAACTCTGCAAAAATGGCGAAGGTATGGAGTTCGTGCAGTTTACCGAAGGTCCAACGAAGACCAGACAGGGCGGACTGCAGAGCAAGAACAGAGATTTTCAGCCCCGAATGTTCTCTGTTGGAGGAGAAAGGTGTCCGCTTGCTATCTTCAAGCAGTTTGTCGAGCGAAGACCACTAAACATGCGATGGTCAGGTCCTTTCCACCTCAGTATCAAAAGAAACCGGAGACTGAATGACAACATCTGGTTCAAAACTAAACCAATGGGCGTCAACACTATTAGTAACATGATGAAAACTACTGTGGCGGGTACTAGCCTTGAAGAAAGTCACAAAAAGTTCGCAATTCACGAATTACAGTGCTAGAAAGACAACAGTGAGCAAGCTAAAGAAAGCAAACGTTGAACGCTCAGATATTGTAAAGGTCACAGGCCACCGAAGCGTACAATCCCTTGACGATTACGATGAAGCCGACGAGGAAGAACAACGACGACTCTTCAGTGAAATATCCAAACGAAATTATGAGAACCCCAGTGCTGAGAAAAAGCGAATGGCAGTTTCCGACATCACAACAACTGTGGCTCCACTCGCTCCGGTAAACACGAACGTGCCCGTACCACACACATTGGCCGGCCCATCGATGACAGCGACGAAAGAAAACCAATTCCCTCCATCACTTTCAGGTTTTCAAGCTCAGAATTTCTCCGTGAATCCAACCATGATGAGGTCCCAGGAACAGACGATGATGAACACGTTCAACAACTGTCAAGTGTCTTTCATCATTAGCCGCTCGAAGCGAGCTCCTGAGATTTCAAAAGGACAGCTCAGTTCTTGTAAACCCCGAGCGTTCATTATTGAGGATGATTCTGATTGAACGTTTACTTTTCTTGATTATTGTAAAGCGAGTTTTCTTTACATAAATGTAAAACGCTTGAAAGGTGTTAAATCAATCCTCACACATTTCCAAGTTCTAATTTGAATGATTTTGAACGTGTCAGTCTTGTAAAACTTTGCATTTGACAAACGTTGTAATCTGTTTCAGCCAATCAGTTGAATGAACTAAAAAAAGCGCGCCCTGTCAAATTTTTTTGTTGTAGTTATTTTTTTGTGTATATTATTAATAAGTAATCACATGATTTTTCTCGTGCAATTTGGAATGATCAAGCACTTGTAAATTTTTCAAAGACCACAAAGTGCACTCGCCCTACGGGCTCGTGCACTTTTGTTGGTCTTTGAAAAATTTACTCGTGCTTATTTATTCCAAATTGCACTCGAAATCAAGGCAATCTTTGATACCAGTTTCAGGATTTCAAGGTCGTTTTTCGGTAAATTAATGAAACTGATTTGCGCAAATAGTAGGCACGATTCCGGGAAAAATTAACCAGGCCTGCATTTTGCATACCATTTATCCAAACCGTCAACCGACCAGTTTGCCCCTGTAAATGGTAAAAAACCGTTGTTTTCCACAATCTACTGTTGCTGCCAATTGCCATAAATACGGCATTATTTAAACCGGTTGAGAGGCACTCCTGTAATGCCATAAAGTTACAGCTTTCTTGGTAATATTGCGTGGGAGACGGTTTTAAAGGCTTTAGTGATATCTTCAAATACTCTCGAAGTAGTCGCGCCTTTTTCAATATTTACATACCAGTCGTCTTATTTGCAACATCTAGCGAAGCTGTTACTGTGGAATGAAGAATGCGAAAACCAGAGCTATATTTTGTTAGAAGATCATGTTCGTAAAGATGATCGTACACGATTTTCTTGGTACTTTTGATAAAGCAGGTAAGACCGAGGTAGGCCTGTTATTCTGCGGGTCTTAACGTTCATTTACTTAAATGTATTGTTGTCCGCAGCCAAGCAAACGTCCTAGCCGTGGTTCATAGTTATAGTAGACAGCGGTTTGCCTACCGTAAATTGCCAGTTGACGCGCTTAGCTTTAATAGCGATGGAGTGAAATTTCTATGCAACTATGGAGTGAAATATGAAAACGGTTATCTTTTATACTTTTGCACGTCCATTTCATGGACGCCGCCATGGCGGGATAAGGTACGTTGAGCCGCAGTTAACTAATACGGCAATAATTGTGCAGCATTTAATATCGAACTTATTTTTCTTAAGGCCCTTGTCTCCTGGAGGGTAGTGTCTTTGCAAATGAAAATTCTACGATCACAAACAGCCTGCAGCCCTTCTTGATGAAATCGAAGGGTCTCAGAGCTAGCTTGAGAAAACAGACGACATTTTGCGACGCCTGAGAAATGAGCCAGAAATTCCATACTGACGACGCGTCACATATTTGGATAGTGCTTCTGATCGTTTGAAGCAGATTTCCCACGCAGCCCGACCAATCGAAGGCACTACCTAGATCTAGGTAGTGACGCGTTATCAGTATGGAATTTCTGCGCTCATTTCTTAGACGTTATTTCGCTGGGAAACCACTCGCGGCGTCGGGAAATGTCGTCTGTTTTCTCAGGGTCATCTTAGAGTTTGTCACCGAAATGTCAGATCTCTTCCTTGGCATCTTGAAGAAGGTAAGTCTCTCATATGCCTTAACGACTGTAAGGAGATATTTCCCATGTATTGTTTATTTGATTCGAGTTTCATATCTAGCTTTTAAATATTCCCTTTGAAGTTATGTTAGCCTTAATTAACATTGAATTTGCATTGAGTTTTTTTAGCTCCCTTAAATTATACACATTTTACTTCAATGTTTACTTTTAAAAGGATAATTTGTTTCTGGATAATTATACAGCTTAGTCACTGAATAATTGGATCTTTCGCCTGTTCAGATACCTACCATTCGTAGTTTTTTAGTTTTGACATTTTAGGGAATCCTGAGCAAAGCAAACTCGAATTCTTTTACACAGCTTTCTTTGTAGGTTTGCTAAATTTACTTGCTTGACTGACATTTAATTTTGAGTTATTTAGTTTAACATATGAACTTTAAAACTGAATTTATCCAGTTTTGTTTTCGCTCTTCAGCTGATTTTATTCAGCCTTCTTTCCATTTGTTTTGTGATGTTGTAATAAGTTGATCGGTTAGTATAAATATAGCACTGTTATCACTGTTTTTCGATTAATTGTTTCACCTTAGCGAATGCTTTGTCTTCAACCTTGCCTTAGCAAAATTTGACGCCTTTCTGAGTAAGCCTTCTGAGTGACTCCAAGACACGAGAAAGCTTTGGCAGGAATTTCGACAGATAGTTTACAGTCCCATTGAGTCTGTTAATGTCTTCCTTGGTCTTTACAGTTTGCAGCTTGAGGATTGCTTTCACCTCAAACCTCGCGTAGTCAGTTGATGTCCCATTAAGTTCAGTTGTTGTGCTCTCAGAACAACTTTCTCCTTGTTGAGCCGCATGGACTTTTCTTTGCAATGTTTCAACAGTGACGTAAGGTTCTTGTCATGATCTCTGGTAGCCTCATCAGGAGTGTCTCCAACTCCATGAATTAAGATGTCATCAGCTATGCATTACCTGTAGAAGTCGGTTTTGAAAGGTCTCCGAACTCACAGAGAGTCCAAAGAGAAGGCGTGTCCACCCATATCGTCCAAATGGGGTAGGGAAGGTGGTGAGTAGGCTAGAATCTTCCTGCAAGATGCAGTGCCATCTGATGAAGAGATGCCACCAGATGAAGACTTTTGCTCTGGCGAGGTCTGGAAGGATGTCCTCGAGCACTGAAAGGTGGTAGTGTCCTCGCTTTAATGCTAGGTTTAAGGACCGTGGATCTATACAGATCCGTAGACTTCCATCCTTTTTGGTAGCAGCTGTCATCTTATTTACCCAGTGAGTGGTTCATCTACTTGGGCAAGGACACCTGTGTCAACAAGCCTGTCACGCTCTTCGTAATTCAATGGGTAATATTTTTGGTGAGCAACGAATTTTTTTTAATCAGCCTTTAAGGTTAGTTGCACAGAGCCAGGCAAAGTGCCAATATCTCCACTGGACATACCAGGAAAATCTTGTAGGCTATCGTGCTTGTATTCAACCACTCCACTGACACTTTTCAAACTTATCGTAATTAAGTTTGACAACTTTCATCTTCTCAGCTGCCTGGTGACTCAGCAGGGGGTTAAATCTTCCTCGACCACAATGAACTTCACCATTTACTCCGGGGGGGTCTTGGGGTTCTCTAGGGAGAGTTTACAGGTTCCAGGTGCCTTCATTTCTCCCTCGTTCCACATTTCTAGGGAACTGTTAGATGGTTCAAGTTGGGTGTCACCGATATGACTTCTGGGAATGAAGCTAACAGTGGCTCCACAGTCAGTCTACTTTTAGTCTGACTGGGTTAGACCTCACATGCGTTTGTCTTTCTTTAAGGCGACACCATTAACAAAGGCGTTGAGAGTCCGCACCGAGGCCGCATCCGAGTCCCAGTCAGAACAATCAGAATTTTGATTTACTGATCGTATTTTCTCTTCCATGGCCAAACTTCTGAACCCTTCCAGTGATTCATTTTCCGGCAAACATTGCATCTTTCACCCCACGCCAGACATAACTTTCTCTTCAGAACATGAGACTGTGGGCAGAACTTTCACTTAAGCTTTCGTTGCTCGGTGTTTTTTTTCTTCACACGAGGGTTCAGTTCGATCGCCCCGTTTACGGATCTTCTTAGCAGGATCATTGGCCCTTCGGTCGACCCGGTTGACCACTTCGTGTTTCCCAACAAGCGCCTGGAGGTGAGTTGTCGCGCGCTCCGAAGTTCAGCAGATGTCAATACATCTCTTCAGGTCAAGCTTCCAGTCCTGAAGTAACCGTTTCCTGGCATCTCGGTTCTGGATCTCGAGAACGATACCGTCTCGAAGTAACGAGTCGCTCATTGCTTGCTACAGAAGTTACAAGTTTCCGCCATGTTTCTCAAGGCGGTGAGATCAGCCTCGAAGCTTTCACCGACTTTTTGATTGCCCTGGTTAAACTTGAAGCGTTCATATGTTTCATTCAAAAAGTCATTAATAATTCATGAGCTCAACAACCTCTTCCGTCCGCTAAAACCCGTCACGTGCTCCTGTTTTAAACCCCGGTAAAACACTGTCAAACTTTAAAAATTTCATCCTCATTAGTATTCTTTATATAAAAAAATACTAATAAGGATGACATTTTATTTCATTGTACGTGACCTATGAATATTAATTATCAGCACAGCAACTGACAACAAAAAATGGGCGAATATTTTATGTTTTTTCAAATTAACACACGCAGTGAATTTACTATTGCAAAAAAATAAACTTTGTTCTTTCACCAATTTAATCAGCCAAAAGTTCAGTGACACAGCAGTAATATTGGCTTTAGCAGTGTCCAAGCGTTGCACTCAAGACTTGCCAGCTGTGAATAAGCAACACTCGAGTACTGTATTTTTGTTTACCTACTCTT